ACAGCATTCCCCCACCCCATTTCCTTTAGAAACAATTAGCCAGATGCCTGACTGCCTTTGAAGCTATAAATTAGATCACTACCAGGCAAAGAAAAGTGCCAGAAGTTTCGAATTCCAAAGAAGAGATAAGGACCGACATGGGGTGTTTCCTTGGTAACCAGAAGAAAAAAGTTAAACTTAGATTCGCCTCTTTAGGACCCACCTTTACTCCTCCCTAGACCATCCCAAAAATCCCTTGTATGGGTATGAGGGGATGTACTATTTGAATACATTTGTAACTGTCTATAAATTCCTGATGTTTGCTTTTGCAAGGTGTGATTCAATCAGCATTCATTGCCACTGTGTTGATTGGGTTCACCCAGATATGTCTTGGCCAAAATATATCTGTTTACTCTCAAGGAAGCCTCGTCTCAAGTTCTATTTGGTTCTCTGAACTTGAGTAAACAAATAAACAAAGGCGAGTGCCTAACATTTTCTGGGGAGCCAGCCAGGAGTCCCGAAGGCGGGGATTCCTTGGGGTAGGCTGCTTTTAGCCCCCCTCTGCATTGCCTTCACTACAGCGGAGAAAATCGACAGGGACCATTCATCAACGTCAAGCGCGCGCCTGGAAGGTTTTCCAGTGACCTTGTGCTGGCCACCATTGGCAGACTCTGCTCCAGCTGAGCCTGAACGCTCAAAATCGAGGCTTCTCTTATATCTGTTGTATAAAGACGGATTTGGGGAAACCGGAAAGGGGTGAGTATGCTTTTATTAGGTGGGGAGAGCTGCCTTGTGAGTGCGTGAGTGAGACGTGGGAAATTCCATTAGGGGCTTGCCCACGAAGCGAGTGCGGTATGTGTGCTTGTTGGAATATATTGTTCTAGAGGAGGATTTTGTATTAGGGGGAGCACACCGTTTCACGGAGAAGGATTTTATATTAGGAAGGGTGACTGGCCAGACCCCGAGCCGATGGAAAGGCCCGAGAAATTCCTAAAAATCCCGAGCTGAAACCCTGTGTCGACAGAAAGACTGATGGGACAAGAAAATAAAAAGCCCGAGAAATTCTCCAAGGTGCAGTTCTCAGAAATCCCAAGTTGAAGGAAAAACCCGAGAAATCCTCTAGGTGGCGCCAAAACCCAAGCCGAGGGAAAGGCTTAGGAGAAAAAGAAAAGAGAAAAAAGGAATCACAAGGCTTGGAAGTAATTTTTAGAAAAAGAAATAAAAAGAGAAATAGAAAATAGAAAAAGAAAAAAGTGGCAAAACTTTGTATTTTTTTATTTTGCTGTCAGTCTTATCATCAGAAGAAAAACGCCAAGTGCTTAAAGCAGCTACTGACGCTTACACAGCTGCAAAAGAAATTTGGACGCACAGGCTGGCCGCCCACTGGGTGCT